CTCCGACTCGGTTCGATCTCGATCGGTTTCGATGCTGGTTCCATGCGGGCTCCGATTTGGGCTCCGACTTTCCAGTGGAGGCCTCACTCGCCTGACGACGTCGACCGATTCGACGTCTCCCGGCTTGGCTGGCGGTTTCCGCCGATCCGATTCATGTCGATCGCGGATCCGACGTTTTCGGTCGTTCTCTTGTTTTCGTTTTTGCCGCTTAGATGTTTCCCGTCCCTCCCGTCTCCCCCCATTATTGTTTCATCCCGCCCCTCACCGAGCGCGTTCCACTACTCGCAAAGTGCTTACTCGCAAACGTCAGAAATAAATCAACACGCGTGTTGGCCTCGATGTAATTGGTCGTCAATCCCCCGCGGCGGATCCAGGCCATTTGCGAGTAGTTACTCTGCGAGCAGTGTAACGCTCTTGTCTAGTAGGGGAGCAAACAATGGCATAATCATAACAACTCGGAGGACCGCGCGGATTTCTCGGACCGGCGCTGGTCCACCCACGCAGAGCGCGCCAGGGGCTGCGCCAGAGGCGCCGCCATGGGGCCCCAGCGCCGATATGTGGAATATGCCCGTTCCTCGGAGTTTTTATGCTAGTCTCATTGATTGTTCCCCTATCTATAGCCCCTCCCTCCCCACTGCCTCAAGTTGCATCTTCGGGGGACCTCGCAAGTCCCCCAAAATTGGTGCCTTCTCTCATGCCCGACGCGGGCTCGATGCGGACTCGACGCGGATTTGGCGTGGATTCGACGCGGATTCGACGCGGATTCGACACGGAGCCGACGAGTCCGACATGCATTCGGGGCGGATTCGATGCGGACGGGGCCGCGACGGGGCAGACCAGGCCCCCCCGAGGATGCAACACAACACTGCCCTTTGTCCTCCCCCCCCTCTCGCCCCCCGCCTCCCCCTCTGTGGGCGGGCGGGCGGCGCTCCCGCAGGCAAGGATCGGAGGCAGGCAGGGAGGGAGGCGGGGGAGGGCCCTGTCCTTCAGGGAGAGGCAGGGAGGATCGGAGGAAGCAGGGAGACGGGGAGTCTCAAGGAGAGGCAGAGGGGGCTGGGAGGCAGGGGGGGGGGGTCGGAGGAAGCAGGGAGGGAGGCAGAGATGGTCGGCGCTTTAGGGGTGGGGTCCTGAAGGATGGCGTCCCGAGAGTCCACGGGTGGGTTTGCATTGTTGGAGGTACCTCGTCCTCGGGACCCCATCCCTCAGGACCCCATCTTCGAACCACCGAAAGGCCCCGCTCCCCTTCCTTCCTTCCTTCCAGTGGGAGGAGGGAGGAGAAGCGAGAGACGGAGGAGGAGGAGAAGGAGAAGGAGGACGAGGAGGAGGAGGATCGAGGACGAGGAGGAGGAAGAAGAGGATGGATGTGGAGTAGGAGCAGGATCCAGCAGGAGGAGGAGGAGGAGGAGCAGGATCTAGGAGGAGGATGACGAGGAGGACGAAGAGGACGAGGAGGAGGACGAGGAGGAGGACGAGGAGGAGGAGGAGGAGAAGTTACAGGAGGAGGAGGAGGAGGGTCGAGGACGAGGAGGAGGAGGAAAAGGAGGATGGGTGAGGAGAAGGAGCATGATCCAGCAGGAGGAGGAGGAGGAGGAAGAGGAGGAGCAGGAGCAGGAGCAGGATCCAGGAGGAGGAGGAAGAGGAGGAAGAGGATGAAGAGGAGGAGGAGGAGGAGGAGCAGCAGGAGGAGGGGGGAGGAGAGGGAGTAGGGGGAGGAGGATGAAAAGGAGGAGGAGGAGGCGGAGGAGGACGAGGAAGGAGGACGAGGCGGAGGAGGAGGATGAGGAGGAGGCACAGGAGGAGGAGGAGGAGGAGGAGGAGGAGGAGGAGGAGGAGGAGGAGGAGGAGGAGGAGGAGGAGGGGGAGGAGAGGGAGGAGAGGGAGGAGGAGGAGGAGAAGGAAGAGGAGGAGGAGGAGGAGAAAAGGAAGAAGAAGAAGAGGAGGAGGAGCAGGAGGAGGAGGAGTGCCCAGGGTCGGAGATGGCTCCTCACGAAGTCCCCCCCCCCCCCTCTGCAAGTTGCCAATGCTTTTGTGGCCGACTTGGCCCGTTCGTTCCTAGAGCAACATGCTCCTAGTGTGCTCAGACGGTTGCCTGTCGAAGGGAGGGAAGAGCGCTTTGGCCAGGCGTTCCCGGAGCAGGTGGGTGCTGCGGGCCCCCGCGCGCCTTTTGGTCTCCAGACTGTGGCCGTCGCTGCCAGATCTTCCGCGGCCCACCGCTGAATGGGTTACTGTAACTATACGTCGGCCCTGACGGGCAAGAGATTGCGCCTTTCAACGTTAGTCTTTGTAAAAAAAGACGATGCCTGATGGTTCGTGCTACCAGGGGCAACGCGAAGAGATTCCCGCGCTGGCTTCGGGGCTGTCTCGATGACCGACTCCGGCCAGCGGCCTCGTGGTATATATATATATATATATATATATATGTATGGGCTGCTCCCCTCATCCTCTGACCATGCCAGCGCCGGCCGATGCTGAACACTTCGGGCTGGCTGCAACTACTGCGCACAGAGAACCTCCGACCTCCGCCGACCCATCCGAGCCCGTGAGGGTGGATTGTTCTGGGCTCTTGGCGGGCGTTGCGTCCACGTCCAGGGCCCTCTCGGGGAGGTCTCGGTTCAGTTTCACTTGGCGTGAGATCAGTCATAGGATCCAGGACGGGGCGTGGCCCACTCTGGAGACCGGTCACAGCACATAGGTCGTTCAGCGAAGTTGTTGACGATCGAGATCATATGAGCATTGCTGGTTCTTTGGTCTCTGATGTACTTGCTCAGTTGGGGCCCAAATGCACGATCTGAGCCCCCAAGATCTCGACTTCGAGCGTGCCGAGGCTGAGTATGGGGGCCTCGTTTCAGGAGTCGTGCGCGTGCTGGAGGCCTGGCCATCCTGCGAGCAGCAATTTGGAAAGCTTTCACGGCCCTCGAGGCCCAGAGGGGTCAAACCTGCTGGACCGCAGCACCTCCCTGTTTGTCACGTGCCGGGTTTTCGGCGCCTGCAGAGTCTGAGGGTCGTGTCGGATCGGGCCCACCATGAGTTCCCTCCTTGGGGGGGGTGCAGGTACAGGGCATGAGTTACACTGGGCTCGGGTTGGGGAGACGATGTTCAGATCATGCTTTGTGCGCTTTGTGGGGGGGGGGCTGGCACGGCTAAATCCGATAAGCTGTCCAAGCCCTGTTTGAATCCGAAGCGTTTGTCGGAGCGTCCAAAGAACGGGCAATTGGCCCATTGCTGGTGTTGCCCCAATAATGGTCCTGATGACTCTGACCCTGTGGGGAGAGGATCTCCCAGCGCGAATGGATCGGCGGTCGCACTTGCATTTATTTAATCGCTTCGCTCATTCCGCCGGCCCATATTGTCGCACCGTTGTGGGCTAGCCGAGTTTTGGGGGCCGTTTTGGGGCCTCTTGGGGCCTCTTTTGGGCCTCTTGGGCGCCTCTTGGGGCGTCTTGGGGGCCTCTTGGGGGCCTCTTGGGGCCTTTTTGGGGCCTCCTGGGCGCCTTCTGGGGCGGAGGGCTCGATTTTTCAGTTCTCGGTTCCCCTCTTGAGCCCCTCTTGGGCCCGTCTTGGGGCCTCTTGGTCCGTCTTGGGCGGCACTTGGGCCGTCTTGGGGCCTCTTGGGTCGTTTCGGGCCGTCTTGGGAGCCTCGTGGGCCGTCTTGGAGCGGTCTTGGGGGCCTCTTGGGCCGTCTTGGAGCGTCCGGAAGCCGAAAAAGCCAGAACACAAAAAACATCGAAAAAAACTAATGAAAATCAACGATTTTGGCCTCTTGGGGCTCTCTTCGGAGGCCTCTTGGAAGGCTCTTGGGGCGTCTTGGAGGCCTCTTGGGCTGTCTTGGGGGCCTTTTGGGCCGTCTTGGGGTCATCTTCGGCGTCTTCGAGCGCTCTTTGGGCGTCTCGGGGGCCTCTTGGGCAGTCTTGGGGGCCTCTTGGGGCACTCTTGGCGCGCTCAGGGCGGCCTGAGAGGCCGCACCCAGAAGGAAAACCATCTCTGAGTTGAACCGGGCGGGACCTTGCCAGGCGGCGGGCGGGGTACTTTTCGCCGGGGGACCCCCAGGGGCCGCCCCGCGCGCGCGAACTAGTACAATACAATTGTTAACCAGTTACCGGAGATCTTAGCACGCCTCTGGCCCGTTGGGCCGGCGAATTTGCCAACGCGGCATGTCTTTACATTTAGGTGCGTGTAGTGCGATGCCAGCTGCTCCTGGAGTGACACGGCACCCTACGGTCTGCGAGGTCTGTGAGGAGGAGGAGGAGGAGGAGGAGGAGGAGGAGGAGGAGGAAGAGGAGAGGGCGGAGGAGGAGGAGGAGGAGGAGGAGGCAGGAGGAGGGAGGCGGAGGGAGGAGGAGGAGGAGGAGGAGGAGGAGGGGAGGGAGGACAGGAGGCGGAGGAGGAGGGCGGGGGAAGGAGGAGGAGGAGGAGGAGGACAGGGAGGCGGAGGAGGAGGAAAGGGAGGAGGAGGAGGAGGAGCAGGAGGAGGAGGAGGAGGAGGAAGAGGAGGAGGCGGAGGAAGAGGAGGCGGCGGAGGAGGAGGGAGGCGGAGAGGAGGAGGAGGGAGGAGGAGGCAGGAGGAGGAGGGGCAGGAAAAGGAGGAGGGAGGAGGCGGAGGAGGAGGGGGAGGAGGGGAGGAGCAGGATCCAGGGCGAAAAGGAGGAGGAGGAGGAGGAGGAGGAGGAGGAGAGGAGGAGGAGAAAGAGGAGGAAGAGCAGGAAGAGGAGGAGGGGGACCGAGGAGGGTCCGGGGAGGGCCCACAGTCTCCCTCCGCATGCCCCCGGGGGCGCAGGCCCGCCGTGCCTTCGCTGCCGTGCCCCACGGAGTGCCGAGCGTCACTCCCCCCGCCTCCTCCTCCTCCTCCTCCTCCTCCTGCTCCTCCTCCTCCTCCTCCGCCTCCTCCTCCTCCTCCGCCTCCTCCGCCGCCTCTTCCTTCTCCGCCTCCTCCTCCGCCTCCTCCGCCTCCTCCTCCTCCTTCTCCGCCTCCTCCTCCTCCTCTTCCCGCGGGCGCGGGCGCAGGAGGACGGCTCGGTGATCCACTTCGCCGCCCCGAAGGCCTCGGCCGCGCGTGCCCCGCCTCTGCGGCGCGCCCCGGAGGGGTGGAGTTCGGGTCTATACAGGCCTCTCCGACGTGCTCCTGGCAGGAGGGGGTCGGAGGATCGCGCCGCATCGCCGGCGCATCGCCGATGCGGCGCGGTGTGGAGCCCGACCTGCTTCGCGTTGACGGCGCCGATGCAGCGCCCGCGTCGCTGGTGCATCGCCGACGCACCTCGGTGGTGCATGGCCGATGCAGTGGCGATGCGGTGCGCTCCTCCGGCCCCACCTGTGCGGGCCCCATGCGGGAGGCCGCTGGGAGAGGAGGGGGCGGGCCTCCTCCGAGGGCGGCGGGGCCTCTCGGAGGCCCTCCGGCTGCCCGAGGAGGGGTCTGTGTGCAGTCCAACTTGATAGGAAGGAGGGTCGATGTCCCCAGGATGCCCTCGCATCCTCTTGCCTTTGCGGCCATCTTCGGTCCATCCTCGGCCAGCCCCGTTCGAAGGGCCTCGCCACTGTCTCCCAAGGCCCTTGCACCCTCATCGTGCGTAATTGCTTCTGGCACGGGCTGATTGTATTCGGAGGAGGCTCATAACAGTTCTCCGAAGAGGGCGGGGCTCTGAGAGGCCCCGCCGCCTTCTGAGAGTGCCCGCCCCTCCTCTCGCGCCCCCCCCCCCGGGCCTGCCGCCGGCTGGCACCCTGACAACGGAAGGTGTTCGTCTGCTTTCGTCTTCTCTCCGAGGTTGCCCATGGGATGCGTTCTGGCCCCCCTCCGAGAGCGTTCCCAGGGGTGCGGCCGCTGGAGGCCCGAGGTGCGAGGCGGAAGCCAGACCTCCTCGGCTCGTGAAGAAAGCTCGGTGGAAGGTGTTTGACAACTTTGGGCTCCTGGGGCCACAGATCTGCACGCGCGAAAGGGGTACTGGAAGAATGGGTACAATGCCCAACAGCAGCTCCTGTTCATTCTGAACAGGGCTCGCTGTCCACGCCGCCGCGGCCTGTGTTCATTTGAGACAGAAGGCCGCCTGCCCAACAGCGGCCGCTGTTGGTTCGGGACAGCATTTGCTGTTGGGCATTGTGCCCATTCTTTCCGTACCCATGTCGGGCGTCCAAAATAGAGGGCCCAGGGTCAAAGAACGTTTTCCTCTGCAGGGCCACCAACAAAGGGACGTCAGGGTGGTCAAACGCCTCGCCGATATGAGCCGACGAAGATGTGCAACGTCCAACCGTTCGCTGATGTCCAAAGTTTTGGCTTGACAACAGGCGTGGAGCTTCAATTTCAGCTTGACCGAACAGGTCGTTTGCGCCCCTTGACGTCCGTTTGGGGCGTTCTGCAGACCTGACCCCCGGGCCCTGGTCAACAGAAAACGACCCGGGATGAGAGCCGGGCCCCGAGAACAAGTCCAGACCTACGTACGGGGAGCCACGATGCGGAACAAAAACACGACGCACGACATCGAATGTCTTGGGAGGGGGGAGGAGGAGGAGGAGGAGCAGGAGGAGGAGGAGGAGGAGGAGGAGGAGGAGAAGGAGGAGGAGGAGGAGGGGGATGAGGCGGAGGAGGAGGAGGAGGAGGCGGAGGCGGAGGCGGAGGAAAAGGAAAAGGAGGAGGAGAGGGAGGAGAAGAGGAGGAGGAAGAGGAGGAGGAGGAGGAGGAGGAGGACGACGAGTCATGGCCCTCGTGTCCCGGCGATCGTGGCAACAACCAGGACCGGCGCCGTTGCCTTCCATTTCGGGGCCTTGTTCGGGCCCCGTGGGATTTCCGCAGCTCGAAATTGTCTCCGAGCATGCGGTCGGGGGCTCCTCGAAGAAGAACAAGAAAAAAGGCATTCACATAATTTCTCAGAGATCCGCGCGGCTTTCATGGATCGGCGCTTGTCCCCCTGGGGTCCAGCGCCAATCTCTCGGAAATCCGCGCGGACCTCCCAGAAATTGTGTTGATGGTGAATGCCTTCAGGCCGGTGCCGCCGACCCTGAAGGACGACGGCGACGACGAGGACGAGAACGAGGACGAGGACGACGAGGACAAGCACGACGACGAGGGCAAGGACGACGACGACGACGATGACCACGACGACGACGACGACGACGACGACGACGACGACGACGACGACGACGACGACGGCGGCGGCGGCGGCGGCGGCGGCGGCGGCGGCGGCGACGGCAACGACGACGACGACGACGACGAGCTGATGGCCGCGCCACAGGCTCGGGACATGGAGCGGGGGCGGAGGAGGAGGAGGAGGAAAAGGAGGAGCAGGAGCAGGGGGAAGAGGGGGAGAAGGGGGAGGAGAGGGAAGAGGGGGAGGAGGGGGAGTGTGAGGGGGAGAAGGAGGAGCAGGAGGAGGAGGAGGAGCAATGGAGCAATGGCCGAGGGCGCAGAAGGGGATCCCGACTGAGCCTCGGAGGAAGCGCCGATGGGCGCGGACGAGCGCCCGAACTGCTGGCCACAGCTAGTCCGAGTCACCAGACTCGGGCAGTGGCTGCAGCACGGGGGCCGAGGAGGAGAGGGGAGCCGAAGGCGCGGGCCTGCTCAGCGCCGCAGCATCGGCTCGCGGCACAGGGCTCCGACCCTCCTCCTCCTCGACCCCACGAGCGACCCCGACCCCCCCATCCGCCACCCCCGTCCCGACGACAGTGAGCGTCTGCACGGCGGCCTCAGGGGCAATCGGGGCCAGCATCAGCGGGCCGAGCGCCTCCCCCGTCTTGGGGTGGCGGCCGCGCTGGGCCTGCTGCAACATTCGCTGGACTCTCTCACTTCGCGCACCACCCCCACCCGCTCCCGACCGAACTCCATCCTCCCTGACGATGCACGCGCGCTTGAGGCCCACAGAAAACCTCAGCGGGCGCACGGCGTGGGCCCCGCAGCGCGTGCAGATCAGCACACGGTCGCATTCCTGGACCAGGTGTCCAGGACCAACGTCCTGGGGATCACACAGACGGGAGGAGAGGGACTTCAGGGAGGACGGGGTCGAGGCCTGGCGCCAACAAACAGTGCACCCGATCGCGCCAGCAGGAAACAGGGCGAACGCGTGGGTGGTCGGCTTGCGCTGGCGGGGGGCTTTAGGGGCAGGCGGTAGCGGCCGATGGACGACGGGCGATGCCATCATGGCCACTCTGTGGGCGGCAAAAGCGAGACATCTCATCCGCAGTTTCGCCTGCTCCATCACAAACTTATGCGCACGAATGACCGAGGAAGATCCAGACAGATCGAGCGCGGCCATCTTCGCGAAACAGTCAGCCCACATGTTACCGAAAAAATTCTTGAGGGGCTCTCCCGAGGAAATGCACGACGCAATGCCTTCATCCACGGACCTGTGAGCACGAGTCCAGGAGAAACGGGGCAACCGATCTAAATCTCTTTCAAACAGAGCGTGCAACTGCCTCCAGACACTCGCATGGGGAGCTGTCGGTCGAGCATGCCTGCCAAACCAAAGCTCCCCCTCTTGCGCCAGAGCCAGGTGATCGGTGACAAACTCAGACGGCCTGGACGCCAATTCGAGACCTCGGAGGGCGGCGACCCTTTCGGCCCTGGGAACGGTTCGAATCGGGCCCCCGAGGCCACCAAAAACAGCCTTGAACGGCAAAAAATTTGGCGTGAGGGCCACGACCGCCCAGCCACACCGCCTAGCCTCGGGGAAATCGCTATCCAAACAGGACCCGTCGCCAAAAACTTTAAACGGCCACGGCACATCGCGGGCACCCCACTCTCGAACAGGCAGCATGCTGGGCTCAGGGGGCCGAAACTCAGGGCGCATCGGCAACGCGTAGAGCAGGTCGACAGCGGTGAAGTCCCACTCCGCACCAGCGCCCGTCTGGCCCTGCTCCCAAATGTCCTTCCTGACCTGCAGCACGTCCTCGGGGTGCGGGCCCTGCTCCTCCCCCTCCTGCGCCTCGTGCACGGTGCAGTAGAACATCTCGTGCTCGAGGTCGGCAGGCGCGTGACCACAGAACTCACAAACTGCATTGTCCGTGTAACCTGCCTCGCGCCGACGGGCGGGCGTCCACATGCCGTCAGACTGAAGCTTTGCCAAAGCACCGCGCAGCCCGCTGGACAGCCTCTGCAGGTGACCCTGACGAAGGGCTCGCATCCAGATATGCCTTCGGCTTCCGTCTGGCCGCCGAGCAGGGGCTCCAGGCAGATGGTCCAAAATACGATGGCTCTGCCAGCGCTCCAGGCTCAGGTACATGTAGTGCTGGACCTCGCTGGGACAGACCCTCAGCAGGTCGATGCCGACACCCGCGTCGTCCACGAGGACCGTGGCACTGGCCATGTCCCACCCAACTCTGCGCAGAGTGAGCCAGAGCGCAGAGATGGGACCCCCAGCACTGGCCCAAGTGACAGCACCGCGAGCATCCTCGAACTGGTCTCTCAGCGCCATCCAGGCCCTCTGCAGCTTGGCGAGAGAGCCGCGCGCGGCCCACACCCACGCCGTGTACTGCTGCAGCAGGCTGCAGGTGGCGTGGTAGATCGGGTCGAAACTGCGCTGCTTCTGAACTGCCAGGTACAGTGTGAGGGAGCCGCTGCCACTGAAGCCACAAAAACTGCCTGCCAAGCTGCGCATCTGCTTCAGCTCGCCGTCGTTGATGCCGCTGACAGCCGCGCCGTGGCCGACCGACGGCAGCGCGCCGGTGGTCCAGAGGCGCGCCGAGCGCCAGCATCCAGCCCCCTTCTGCAACGCCTTCAGCCGAGGGCGACGAGCATCCATCTTCTTGAGGCGATCCTTCTGGACACTGCGCACAGCAGCGCAGGCCGCGAGGTCGTGGCCCAGGTAGCGCATGTGACGTTTGCCACCAATCTTGAGCAACTTGGCATACTGCCTGAAGTGATACTTGGACTGCTGTGTGACGGCCAAGTGCCCCGATTTGTCCAACTGCAGGACCACGCCGGGGGGTTTGACCGCCTCGCAGAACACTTTCGTGGCAGTCGCAAGCGTGCGGGCACCGCGGGCATCGGCACCAGTCCACGACAAAGCCACGTCGTCCACCAGGTCACGTGGACGAACCTCAGGAGCGATTCGAGCAGTCATGCGTAAAGTACGCGTCAGTAGCACCATCAGCAGCGTAGCGGCATGAGTGCACCCCGCCAGGATGCCCTGGTACGCACGCTTCGCCTCCGAGAAGGAGTTGTACGCAAAAATCGTGCGCTCCTGCTGGTAGAGCAGCACGAGCATGTACGCAAGCCTCATGGGAAACAGATTGGCCCTGCACTCGTCCAGCAGCGCCTGGTGACGCACCAACTCGTAGCACTTGAGCATGTCGAGCAGCACGATCAGGGCGTGGTCGCCCGCGAGGTGGGCCGTCTCCTTCTCGAGGGCCAGATCGAAGGCAGCGTCGGAGGAGGATCTGCCTCCCGTGTGCCCCCAGAACTCCTCGCTGGCGTTGTTCGCTTCCCACTGGGCAGAGACAGGCCGACGGGCCCTCCCCCACACCCGAACGAGCGTGTTGAGGAGAGCGATCAGGCGCTCCCCCCCTCCTGGTTTGGGAAGTCGAACGAGCTTCGTCATGAGCCGAGCCTTGGGCCAGATGAGCAGCTGCCCGCAACGACAGAAGACGGCGGCCATCGCATCCAGGGCTGCGTCGGACAGGTGGCCCAACGCCCGCGGGGCAATCCTGACCTGCCCCGTACCCGTTGTCCAGCTGAAGGCGCGAACCGCACGGCGTACGTCCCTGCCGCTGAGAGGTGGCAGCTGGTCCCACACCTGGTGGTCGCTGGGCAAATCAATCACCCCGTCATCGTGCCTCTGCCAGTACTGGTTCCAGTGCTGCACCTTGCGATCGGCCAGCTGGTACGCGTGCTGGACACCTGCGCCGTAGTCGATCACCTCCTGGAGCGCCAGTGGCCTGGAAAACTTGTGAGCACGACTAGCGCCGCCTTCGAACGACGCCTCGGCCCACGCCTGCCAACTGGCGGCTACCTTACTCTCATGCGCCCGCTGCTTGCCCTCTGCCTTGACAATGATGCGCTCGATTTGCTGGTCGAAATCCTCCCGCACGAAAGCCAGGAGCCCAAGCACAAAAAGATCGACAGCCGCCTTATCAAGATGTGGCCAAACATCGGAGCGAGCAGCAATCCTTTTCAAAAAATACTGGAACTCCAAAATGTGCCTCGCGGTCTTGTCGCACAGCTTGCTGCAGTTGACCCTCGGACGGGGGCGTGCTCCAGCCGCTGCCGCCACCGCGCAACAGGACGCAGCCGCTGACGACGCACCCGTAGCCGAGGAAGTCGATGGCGATGGTGCCTCCGTCCCTGAGCAGTTCAGCCCTGGCAACAAGAGAGCAGGAAGGTCGGACAGCTTCGTGATGAACGATGCGAGAGCAGTGCGGACACGTCGGAACTGCCGCGCCCAACGCGCTGCAGCAAGCCAAGCTGCCACGTCGGGCGCCTTTCTCTTCCAAGACTGCCTCTCGTCAGGGTCGAACCTGGCCCACTCGAACGTAGGTGGCGCAGGCTTGGACGTGAACTTTGACACCTGCGGTCCGACGACATCGTAGCGGCCCTGCAGCTCGAACTCGATGCCCAGCAGCAGCTGGTCCCACACGTCGGCCATCTGCTCCGAGGAGGTCACCTGCCTGATCTGATTCAGCAGCGGGTCCCAGTCTGGCGGCGGCCTGGCGCAGCCGACCTTCGGCGCCTTGGTGAAACCCTTGGCCAGCACCAGCTGCCGAGTCCACATCACCTGCGGCTGGGCTGCCAACCTGAGCGCGACGGGCAGGTGCGGCCAAGTATCTGCCTCACCGACTGCTGCATGGCTTATCCTCGGCATGACCTGGCAGGCCACGAAGAAGAAGTCGATCGTGCGCCCAGGGAGGGCCTGCATGCAAGTCGGCACCGATGGCACAACCGCAACGCCATTGACCGAGTGCAGCCACGACAGCGAGCCCAACTGCTTGAGCTCCATATTGAAATTTCCTCCCACGATCCACGGCATCTGCAAAGTGTCGAGCACCTTCAGGGACTGATACAACTTAAACAGGATGGCCAGGTTCTCTGGCGACAGCTGCTCGTCAACCCGCATATACAGAGAAATCATGACGAAACCTCGCTTGCCACCGCAGTTGACGTGCGCCGCCACCATGCGCCTTGGCTCCAACGTTGGCCCTTCTAGCGCAGGGGGCCCTGTGATGAGCACACGCTTGGGCACCAAAACCGCCACGCCGCCCTGACTGCCAGTGCCCTGTCCAGGTAGCGCAGCCTCCCAGACACCGTGGTAGCCCTCGGCGAGCGCGTCCCCCTGGGCCTTGGCCAGGGCCCCTGGCAGCGCATGATGCTCCTGCACGGCGACGCACATGCTTGAACAATTCGCCAGGTAGTCAACCATGGGGCCGCCTGACGAGACATTGATAGTGGTGACACCGATAGACTCAGCCATTGCGATGGGCACGAGACACAGCCACAGCAGAAAACGAAAGGGCGCCAGGGCATCAGGCAGCGACCGCCTTGTGCCGCTTGCGCCCGAGCTTAGCCATGATCTCCTCGATCCTGCGCTTGTCGCCTCCTGCACTGACGATCTCATCGACGAACTCGGCGCTGTCGGCCTCGTCCTGCTCCATCGCGTCACACTCCGAAGGCGGGCTGCCGCCAGGCGCCCGCTGGTCCTCAGCAGCGGCGGCAGCAGCCGCAGCGGCTTCGGCCCTCTCCCGCTGCTGCTTGACCTTGGCCTCCTCGCTGAGCATCTTGAGGCGCTCCAGGTCCTCCTTGAGGCGCTCCGACAACCCATGCTCGGCGCCGAGGAAGTTGAGCACCTGGTCGAGCCCCGCCAACGTTTGGCCGAGCCCGACGATCGGCTCATCCAGCGGCCCTTTGCCGTGCTCAGGCTGGGGGGGCAGCGGGGCCTGGCTCTGGAGCTGCCGCTGCTGCTCCTGCAACTCCAGCATCTGGGTGTCGAGCGACGCCAACTGCTGCTGCGCCGCCTGCTCCTGCTCATGCAGCAACGCCAGCTTCTCGCGGATCCCCACGAGGCGCCGCTGCTGGTCCTCCTGCAACTTCTGCTGCCTGCTGATCTGGGCTCCGAGGTCACGTAGCCTCTGGCCCAAGGGGCGCGCCGCCGCCAGCTTCGCCTTGAGCTCAGATTGCTCCTTGACGAACGCCTCCTTTGCACGAGCGAGGTGAGGATCGGCACTGCCCTCGACCGTCTTGAGCAGCTCGCCCAACTCCCGCAGCCTCTGCTTGTCCTTGTCGGATCCGCTGAGCTCCTCCTCGGCCTCCACGGGCGGGGCCTCCGCACGCTTGAGCTTCGCACTGGCGGCCGCCAGCTCCTGCTTGAGCTTCTGGACCTGCACCGAGTCCGCCCATGCAGAGAAGGACCTCCCTGGCCTGCGAAGCGACGGCAGCGGCGGCTCGCGATACTCCTTGAAGCAAAGCCCTTTGCCCAACTTGCACTTGGCGCAGGATGTGGCGTCGGCGAAGTTGAACCAGGGAAGGCCCTTGGGCCCGACGCAGCTCTTGCAGAACCATTGCCGCTTGCTCTGCTCCGAACGGTAGTGCTGTGGCGCCATCCAGCAGGCTGGCCTCGCAGGCACCGAGAGCAAGCCGCCGAAGCAGCGCAGGCTGGGCAGCAAGGCTGAAAGTGGGTGCCCAACTCCCACAGTGTAGGCGAACGGTGGTCTGGCCGCGGACTAGCGGTATCCGTGTGGTCCCCTGGGGCACCAATCATCTTGAGCCAAAATGGCTACGGAGGAGGAGGAGGAGGAGGAGAAGGAGGAGGAGGAGGAGGAGCAGGAGGAGGAGGTTGAGGAGGAGGAGGAGGAGGAGGAGGAGGGTCGAAAAGGAGGAGGAGGAGGAGGAGGAGGAGGAGGAGGAGAAGGCGGAGGAGGAGGAGGAGGATGAGGAGGAGGAGGAGGGTCCAGGAGGTGGAACGGGCGGAAGTCGGAGGAGGAGGAGGGGAAAGATGAGGAGCGTTCGGAAATTGCTTTTGAAAGTTTCTTGTCCTGTCTTCGAGCGGCACGAACGGCTGGCCTTTAGGTGGCATGTAGGACCGATCATTCGGCGACTCCAAGCGTCTTGGGTGCATCTTGGAGCAATCTTGAGACTTCTTTGGGCTTCTGTGGGCCTGGGACCCCCTGGGGGGATGATATCCTGACCCGGCCCCCCCCCCCACCCAACGCCGCCCTTGGGGGCGAAGCGGTCAAAGGGAAGGGCTTTCCCGTCGAGTCAATATCGAGTCTGCTCAATTTCGGCTTAGACTCGCTTTGGCTGGCGCGCTTGATGATGAGGAGGAGGGCCCAGTGACTGCGACGACAAATAGTACGACGACGACGAGTCAAACAGAACGAGGAGGAGGACGACGACGAAGCAAACAGAGCGGCGTCTTCCACACGCCGACAGGGTCGACGGATGCAGTCGTCTGTTCCTTGAAATCTGTCGGTAAGCGCTTCTGTTTCACAGCGGCGTCGGAGGAGGAGGAGGAGGAGCATCAGCAGGAGGGCTTCCTCCTCTTGCTCTCTGCGCTGGTCTCTGCGCAGCGCCCAGGGAAAGGAGTAGCTGACCTCTTCCTCCTTCTCTGCCTACGGACGCAGGTTTAGGATCGACCCCTCGGCCGTATCCCTATACACGCACGGAGGAGGAGCATCGGCTGGAGGGCTTCCTCCTTCCCCCTAGTCACCCCTGACCCCCAAAAGGTCCAGGCCTCCGTCACCGCCAACACCTACGTCGTGACTGGGCACGCGGAGAACAAGAAGCTCGAGGACCTCTGTCGGCGAGGGGGGGCGGTGTTCGTTGGCGCGCGCCGCCGCTGCAGGGGGGTGAGGGGATGCTGGAGGGAGTCGGTGGAGGAGTCGGGGGAAGAGCAATCCTGGCACGAGTAGGAACTGGCTTACGCCCGCCGTCGTTTCACTCTCACGCCTTCTTCGGCCTCGCGAGTCATCTCGACCGATGTCTGTCCGTTGGGCGCGCCGTGGAGGCAACGTGCTGAATTTCTCGGCGTCCTAGTCGATCAAACCCAAAGCGAGAGTTGTAGCGGCTGAGGGGGGATGTGGACGGGAGTGTGCGGGCGCATCAAGAAGACACACCTCGCTTTTTTTTTCAAAACGAATGAATGCCGCCAGGGGCAGCCTCCCACGACGGAGCTGGGGATTGCAGGACACACGCTCGGGGGCAGGGATGCCTGCCGTGGGCGGCCCTCGGTGCATGTTGCACCAAGCTGAATCTCAGGAGGGAGTGTGGGATGGCTGTTGGGTGGGAGTTGGCACCGACGCTGTGGCCGACTCATTCTGGGCAGATTTTGTGTACAGTCAAATCGGTACTAAGGACGCGTTGCTTCATCAATGCTACCCTTGCATCCCTGCTTCAGCAATGCTTCCCTTGCATCCCTTCAACCACCGTTGACGTTCGAAGAGCTCAAAATGGCAAGTGCGACTTCCAATCGTTTTGCATCCTCAAATTGCATCCTGACTGCGGATTTTGACTGTATCGCGCAGTGTTCGCCGCTCTTCCCGTCAGGCCGTAGATTCGTGACGTCTCGCGGCGGCGCCAGCGCGGGCGCAGTGCGTGCGTCCCATGCCGATGGCGCCAGGCAGCCTCCTGGCCTCGCCTTCGAGGACCACAGGAGATGGCATCTCTTCTTCGGCGGAATGGTCGGCGGAAGAGCGGCGGCAGCTGACAGAAGTAACACGAGGGCGGTCCCGCCAGCGGGAGCCGGCGGAAGTAAAACAGCATATTTTGCCTCGAGCGATTCCTACCGAAATTGTCAGCGCCTGTCCTCATCCTCCTTCCGTTCCTCCCTCCTCCATCCTTCCTTCTCGCTCCCTCCTCCCCCTTCCCTCCTTCCTCCTTTTCCTTCTCCTCTTCTTCCTTCCAGGAGGGGAGGCGCAGCGGGACGGGGCGCGGGGAGCGACGACGACGGCGACGGCGATGGCGACGGCGACGGCTCGGCGATGCGGACGGCGACGGCGACGGCGACGGCGACGGCGACGGCGACGGCGGCGACGACGACGACGACGACGACGGCGACGACGACCGACACAGTGCCCGAAGCAATCCCTCGCTGCGCGGTGGCCGTAGTCTGCACCCCGCGCAGGCTTGTTCCCCTCAGCGCGGCGGGCCCCCTTCTCGCGCAGGCGCCAGTCGTCCGAGCCGGCGTCCGGTGTGAACGACCCCGAACTGTCAGGTGGGGAACAAGTCTGACGTGTTCTGTCATGTTTGTTCTGCTTTGGCATGTTACCCGTCAGTCGTTGGAAGTGGGTACCCGCACGCGAGAAGGGCTGCCGCGGAGGCGTTCGGGAAGGCAGAGCGCCGGCCGAGGCAGCGCTGGGTTCGCATGCAGGCATGGGAGGACACTCAACGTGCGGCGCCGCCGCAGCGCCTAACCACCGATGCTGGGCGCTGGAGAAGCTGCGGCGCCGAGTGGAGCGCCCCTTCAAGCGGCGCCGCTGGCCCCCGCCCCGAGCTGGCGCCGCGGCGGCAGAGCGCCCCTTCGCCTTGTTCGGCGCCGCCGCGGACGCTGCGGGCAGGGCCCAGCGGGGTCGATGGCGAGGCGCGCTGGCGCATGCCGTGATCTTCCGCGCGCAGACACCGCCTGCCCAGCGACGGAGCAGGATCGGATTGCCATCCTCGACTCGCTGGCCACGCTGGCTCCCGCATCCTTTGGGAAGGGCGATCGCAGACTAGCGTGCGCAGCGGTCCGGGCGCCGGGAGGCCGCTTCAGTCCCTGGCCCGAGTATCTTCTTGGCCGATGGCGCGGCAGCCGCCGATCCGGCGGCGGCGCTTCAGCCTTGGCTGGAACATCTTCGCGTCGTTCTCGGCAGTCGTGATCTCGATCGCGGGCAGATGCGCGAGAGCGTGCGCCCTCGGCGCGCCGCGTCGGCCTGCCTGGGCCCGCCGCCGCCGAGGAGTCTGTCAAGTGGCTCGGCTACAACGCGGGCTGCGGCTGCAACGGCATCCCGGCGGAGCTACTCTGCGCAGAGGGGGGAGCGGCTGCCTGCAAATATGCAGACCTCAACCGCCGCGCGGTGGCCAACGCGCGCTGGCCCGCGCAGTGGCGCGGCTGCAGGATGCAAGAGGTCTTCAGCAAGAACGACGACCCGCGCGATGTCGATACCAGCCGGGGCTTGCTTCTGGCGGATCACGCGGGCAAGCCCTGGCGGGGCGGTTGCCCCGCGCGCGAACAGCACCTCCCGCGCGCGCAGTCCGGCGCCGCGCGGAAGCGGGGCGCGGACCAGGCCGCGCCCCTGGTCCGCCGCGCGACTGAGGTGCCGCACGCGCGGCAGTGGTCGGTCCGGACCCTCTGCGTGGACTGAATATCATATCGGGGGCGGAGAAGAGGGGGGGGGATGACCAGGGGGGGGTGGATATCATGGCGGGGGCCATAATATTTCCCAGATTTTGTGGCGCCTCTTCTTATGTCATTGCGTCCCTGGCCCCCCCGCTGGGCCGCGCACATGCCGCCGGCCATGACTTGCACCCCCCCCTCTTGCACCCCCCCCTCTTGCACCCCCCCCTCTTGGCCGCTCCCGATAACCGAAGCTTCCGGCTTGGCGGTGCGCGCGCTGTTTTCGGCCGGGGCCCCAGAGGGGCCTGCCGCCCGAGCACGGGCGCCGCGCGCTCCTGGCGCGGCGGAGCAAGCGACGGAACGGATGGTTCGCTGCCTGGGCGCCCGTGGGCCCCTGCAGCAGCAGTGGGGGGCTGATGAGGGCGCCTCGGAACGGTGCCAATCTCGAATCGGCTTGCGGTGATAACAGGCATTCGCACCTCTCCCCCAGCAGTCTGCACTGGCGGTGCCCCGAGTGTTCGGAAGCGTTTCCTTCTTCCAGGGCTGTTGAGCGCCACATGACGGCGAAACACGGCACGCGTGACGACATTCGTCGGTGACTCCCGACCGCGCGGCGCCCGTGCTCCCAAACCGATTTCCTGCAGCGTCTCAGGCTGCTGTCGCAATTGACGGATGTTCGGCGTCCACAGTGTTGGTGGTAAGTGTTGCAGCATTGCAGTCCGCTATTCGTTGCAAGCGTGGCGGAGCTTGACCAAGAGGATCGATTGTCCCGCCGCTTGGCACAGCAAGCTGGCCGTAACCACCATTTGGTAATGCTCCCTGCCAGGCGCCGCGACCGCTCTGTAGTTGGGCGCACTTCTCGGTAGACCCGCGTCTCGGCCGCGTTGCCAAAGGTCGACCTCTGGACGGAGGCGCGTCACTGTTTATCACGTTCTTGAGACTCCTAGCCTCGCATGGCAGTGTATGTATACATATACACATACATACATATACGCATGATCCAAGGAATCCTGTATTGCCTTTGGCTTGCTACACCCGTGGACTTCTCGCCTCCGCTCGCCTCTGCGCGAGGGGGCCCGTGTCCCACTGCCTACGTGAGCGCGATCGGATGTACGGCTGGCGTGAGTAAGCGTTGTTTGAACAGTTGCGCGAGCAATTGAAGGCAGGATTGAACGTCTGCAGCCAAAGCGTGATCCAGCAGCTTCGAAGTGTTGCCGCCAAGTGGGCTTGGCAGGTCTAGCTAGTCTTCCAGGCCCGCAAGCCGCCCACCTTATCAAGAGGAGGACAAGCATCCGTTCTGAGGCCGTCCCACTCCCCCAAAAAGTGGTCAAGCAGGGCCATTGGTTGGCGTCGTCCTCCGTTCCCATCTGCCCGAACTTCGGCCTCGTTTATTCACCATGCGAGCTGCCTATTCTCGTCGCCGCGTTCCTCGTCTTCATCCGAAGCCCCGTCTGTTGTTTTACCAGTATGAGATTGTTTCGTTCATTCGATGGTTTGTCGTCCTTGTCCGTCTACGTCGCAGGAACTCCTCCCCGGCATCATCAACCAGCTAGGCCCTGACAATCTGGTCAACCTCAAGCGCATCGCCGAGGGTTACGTCTCCCTCTCAGCGGGTGGATCGTGAGGAGGAGGAGGAGGAGGAGCAGCAGCAGGAGAGCAGGGGCAGGAGCAGGAGAGGAGGAGGAGGCGGCGGCGGAGGAGCAGGATATGAATGGAAGAGGAGTAGCAGCAGGAGCAGCAGCAAGCGGGGGAAGAGGATTAGAGGGAGGAGAGAGGAGGAGTAGGTGGATATAGGAGGAGGACAGGAGAAGGCGGAGGAGGAGGAGGACAGCATGGCCAAATTCAAACATATTGCCGAGGACTACGTCGCCACCTCAGCGCGGGATGGGGGACGATGGTTGCATCACGCCAGGGTTGGGCAGGACGTTGGGAAGGGTAAGGAGGGGAAATGGAAGGAGGGCACAGGGGAATCAGGATAGACGGCATAATAGACAGCGGACGTCAGACACTGTACAGGTGGCACGAGGGTTAGGATCAGCCTCGTCTTGAAAGGGGAACCATGATGTTCCCCAACCCTGTGGTGTTGGGACTTCGAATTGAAAAGACAGCGCCCCGCGTCACTCACCTCACCTCCCCCCGTCCTCCCTCCTCCCAGCCCTTCCTCTGCACTCCGCATGCCCATGCCAGCACAATCCTCACGCTTCGTGATCCCATAGGGAGCTGCGCCGAAGGCCCCAGTGGCAAAGTCCACATGGAAGCACCGCTCCTTTTCCGGCACACCTCTCACACGTGTCATGGTCTCATGGGGAGCTCCACCGAAGGCCTCAGTGGCAAAGTCCGCATGGCGACCCGGCACCCATGTCGACACACCAATCACACGCTTCGTGGCCCCAGAGGGAGTTCTGCCGAAGGCCACGTCTGCATGGGCCCCATTTCGGCGAACCCCATACGCGGTTCGCGACCTCGTTCGGAGCTCTACCGACGGCCCCATTGGCCAAGTCCGCATGGCGGCACCGCCACATTACGGCGACCCCATCACCAGTTTCGCGACCCCATTCGGAGTTCCACCGCGGCCACAGTGGCACAGTACGCATGGCGACACGGTCCCGCTTCGGCGCACCCCGCGCGCGTTTCGTAGCTCCGCCGAAGGCCCCAGCGGCAAAGTTCGCATCGCGACCCCGCCCCATGTCGGCGCACCCCCTTTCCGTGATCTCGGCCCCATAGGTAGCTCCACCGAAGGCCACAGCGGCAACGTCTGCATGGCGGTCGCGCCCCAGTTCGGCGCACCCCTCGCGCGCTTCGTGGACCCAGAGGAAGCTCCACCGAAGGCGCCGGTGGTAAAGCCCGCACGCCGTCGTCTCGCCACTTTGGCACACCCCTCGCAGGACGCGCTCCCACCCTTCGATTATCAGCTGCCTGCGGCACTCGCGGTGGCATATGTCGGCGGCGAGCGAGGGGGAAGTGCGAAGGGGCGGGCCTTCTCTCAGAGCGTGAATCACCTACCCCGCTTTCGCTTCCAGGCAAAACCAAGTCATGCCACGCGCCTCCTCGTCAAGCGGCCTGACCAGCACAGGCCGTAGTTTGGCATCGCTTGGTATCTCTTGGAGGCGAGGGTGGCCAAAAGCGAGGTAGGTTTGTTTCCCCCCTATTCTCAGAAGGCTCGTAAAGGCCTCCAGAATTCCCGAGAGGTGCTCTGCGCCTCCCCCGCAGACGCGAGGGTCCTGCCAGAAGGCCGGAGGCTCCCTCTGAGAGGCCCCGCCGCCTGCCCGAGGGGGCCCTCTCCTTCTCCCTCCCCCCCCCGCCGCTCGCCGCCGCAGGCGGCCGGGCCCTGCTCCGGGGTGCGTGCTCGTGTTGGGCCCTCCGCCCCGGAGTGCCCCTCGCCCGGGCCAGGGCGGGCCCGTCGCGCCGTCGGCCTTCGGCGGCAGGGGGCTCGCGGGCTCTGGGCTGAAGTCGGGCCTGCCCCTCGACAGGAGGAATATGAATCAGTTCAAAAACAGTTATTACAACAAATATGCAAAACATGCAAAACATGGTCGGGGGACGATGTGTTCACTATGTTTGCCCATTCAGGGGTTCTTTTTCTCGAGTGCTTCTAAATTTTCGCCCAACATGCCCCTGTAAGGGGACACGCCCGACTTAACTCTGGACCCCGCGCCCGCGTGACCGCTCGCGTCGGCTGCAGGCCGTCGGGGGGTAGGGGGCGGACCAGGGCAGGGGCCCTGGGGAAGGATCGGGGCTTCTCCTCCTCCTCCTCCTCCTCCTCTTCCTCCTCCTCCTCCTCCTCCTCCTCCTCCTCCTCCTCCACCTCCTCCTCCTCCCCCCCCTCCTCCTCCTCCTCCCCCTCCTGGTCCTTCTCCTGCTCCTCCTCCTGCTCCTCCTCCTCCTCCCTCCTCCTGCTCCTTCTCCTGCTCCTCCTCCTCCTGCTCCTCCTCCTCCTCCTCCTCCTCCTCCTCCTCCCCCTCCCCCTCCTGCTCCTCCCCCTCCCTCTTCGTCATCCTCCCCATCCTCCTCCTCCTCTGGCGCCTGCGCCCCTTCCCTTCTGGCCTTTGGGCGGGTTGCCCTGAGATCTCGGCAATGCAATTTGTGCCCCAACCCTGACGCGGCGATTAGTGACCTGTCCGATTCCGATTCTCGAGGGGGCGCCGCGACCATAATCTCCCAGGCCTGCGCCCGCCAGGTTTGGGCCCGCCCGACGTCGTTTTCACTACACCACGTTTCACTGAAGGAGGTTCTGCCCATCCCCCGAGATCAGGCTATCGCAAACATAGATCAAGGGGGCGTGAATTAGCGACGGGTCCAGTTTCTATAGGAAATCGCGGATCTCCGCCGCCGACCGAGGCGGCACCGGCCGCATTTTGGGGAGGGCACCTCCCCCGATCCATGGATTTGACGACCGCGCGCCAAATCCATGGATAATTAATCCTTGTTTGCGCGCCCCCGAGAGACGGGGTTCACTGCAAACGGGGGTCAGCCAGGGCGCCGGGTCTTGCAGGATCCTGCAAGGCCCGACTGACCCGGGTCTGGATTGACCCGGGCTAGTAGATCCCAGAAATGAGGAACATGATGATGATGAACGGATCGACCACAACGTTGTTTATCGGTGGCGAGCGAGCGGGGAAGGTAGAAAATGCGGGGTTTCTCAGAAGGCTCGGAAGTCCCCCGGCCTTCTGAGGAGTGTTCTATTTCTTCCCCGAAGACACAAGAACAACTTATGAGAAGCCCCGCCGCCCTCTGAGAAGGCCTCCTTCTTCTCATTTCCTCCCCTCGCTCGCCGCCGAATTGGGGAATGAGGAACGTGATGCACGGATGAACTTCAATGCTGTTTAGCCTGTTATGGGTGTTTGTTGTGGTTGTCATTTCGTTTTCCAGTGTTTGCTTAGTTGGTGTTTTGTGTTTGTGTCGAACGCTTTGCCTCCTTGCTCGTTTCCCTTGGTACCGGTTTCTCTTGCCAACGTGCGTCAACGATGGGTTTCGTTTCGTTTGTCGCTTTGAGCGCCAATCCGTTTTCAGCAGTGTCGTGGTCGGGCCCCGGGAACCTGAACCTCTTTGAGTCACTGAACGCTGCAATTCGATGACCCGATGCTCAAACATCCTCGGTCTGGAAGCCAACGAACGCCACCTGCAGCTCAGATATATCCAGCGAATTCAGCACTTCACGTCCCGAAAGCCCCGGTGATGAACTGCAGGCGGGAGGCAGCAGCAGCTGGAGCAGGAGGGCGCAGGGCGGGGGCGGTGCAGGAGCAGCGGCAGGAGCCGGCAGCGGAGGCCCCGTCGTCCTCCCCCGTCCCCGCCCCTGCCCCCCCCCCACCCCCCTTGAACGCCGCCTAGCCTTGCTCGCCTCCCCTCCTCCTCGCCGTCCCTCCTCTCTGCTCTCCGCTCACCGCCCTCCCACGCCCGTCCGCCCCCTCCTCCCCTTCCCCCCCTTCCCCTGTCTCCTGAGACGAGATCCCCCTCATGCTCCTCCTCCTCCTCCTCCTCCTCCTCCTCTTCCTCCTCCTTATCCCCTCCTCCTCCTCCTCCTCCTCCTCCTCCTCGTCTTCCTCTCCTCCTCCCCGTCCTTACCTCCCCCTCCTCGTCTCCTCCTCCTCATCCCCTCCTCCTCCTCCTCCCCTCCTCCTCCTCCTCCCCCTCCTCCTCCTCCTTCCTCCTCCTCCTCCTCCTCCTCCTCCTCCCCTCCTCGTCTTCCCTCTCCTCCTCCCCGTCCTTTCCTCCTCCTCGTTCTCCTCCTCCTCCTCCTCCTCCTCCTCCTGCTCCTCCCCCTCCTCCTCCCCCTCCTCCTCTCCGAAGGCCCGTTTGAGAGTGTCCGAACGTTTTCGACGACCGCCGAAAAACTCAGAGAAATGATCGTCGCCTCATTCCCAATCCCTGGTGGAACCCCCAGAGCCCCCCAAGAAGCCCTCCATCCCCGCGTTCGCCCGTTCGAACCACAAGACATCCTCCTCCCTCTCCCTCCCTCCTCCCCTCCCTCCTTCCCTCCCTGCTCCCTTCCTCCTCTCCTCTCCACCTTCCCCTCTTCGCCTGTCTCCCCGCGCGCTGACCCTGAAGGCAGGGCTGTCGACAGGTCATCCTCCTCCCCACTGGGAGGATGGTCCGGGCTGAGCTCGCGTCATTGGGTGTAGCACGGCTCCCCCGCAGGCATGCCCGAGGGAGCTCCAGAGAGGCCCCCTCCTCCAGGAGGATTCCTCCTCGGCTCCTCCTCTCTCCCTTGTTTCTTGCTGCAGACGGGTCGACCCTGCGATGGGCAGGACATCTGCGTGATCGTTGGAGCGCGCGCGCGAAGGGAGGGGTGGAGGGGGCTGCGCCAGTCGCGGGGGGGCGGCCCGCGGGAGTACGCGCCACCCCCTTCGGCCACGCGCCTCACCAGCGTCCCTCCGCGCTGCCCTGGCGGTATCCTGCCCCTCCCCCCCCTCCCCCCTCCTCCTCCTCCCTTGACGGGCGAAGAACGGCGTAACATACACTACTTCGACGTCGGGGATGCCTGTCTCGGGGCGGCTGGAAAGTTTGCAGCCCTACGGTAGCACGTCATGATATAAACTCCCTGGCCGCCCTTGGACAGGCACCCCCGTGGACAGACAAGTTTATGTTACACCGATCTTCGCCCGCCGCGGCAGCGCAGCGTGGGGCCACCGCCCGCGTCGTCGTCGCCGCCTCCCGCCAGTGTCCTCGTCCTCGTCCTCGTCCTCGTCCTCGTCCTCGTCCTCGTCGTCGCCCTTTCTGCTGTCTGCACCGGCCACCGTCACGCCTGGGCCGCCGGCGGCCGCGGGGGGCCTCCTCTCGTCGCGCGGCGGGCCGCGCTGGCGGAGCTCCGTTTCGGGTGTTGCCAAGAAGAAGTGCCCCCTGGCCCAACGAGTGCCCCCCAGCTCTTGGCTCCCTTTTGGAGCCCCATTCGGGCCCTCTGTGGCCTCGTCGGGGGTGCCCCAGAGGCCGTCTGGGCCACCCCGAGAATCCTGGGGGTACCCAGACGGCCTCCGAGGCACCCCTGACGAGGCCACAGAGGGCCCTAATGGGGCTCCACAAGGGAGCAAAGAGCTGGGGGGCACCTGTTGGGCCAGGGGGCACTTCTTGGCAACACCCGACCGCTTCCCTCGGCCGCGCGGGGCGGGGGCGGGGGGTCGCGGGCTGCTCGGCAGCGCCCCCACGGGGCGCCCCGCCCGCAGGGGGCCGACCTGGCCTGCCACGGCCCTGACAGTGCGCCCTGCTCCTGCGGGTCGGCTCGGCCCCTCCCGAGGAGGGCGGCGGCGGCCCCCCCCCCTCCCCCCCCCCCCGTCAACAAAAGATCGGCGGCGAGCGAGAGGGGGAAGTGACTGTGTCCTCCTCCTCCTCCTCCAACTCATCCTCCTCCTCCTCCTCCTCTTCTCTCCTCTCTCCTCTCTCTTCTCTCCTCATTCTCCTCCTCCAACTCCACCTCAGAAGGCGGCGGCTGCTTCTCAGGAGCACTCGCGCCTCCTGAGGAGCTTCCTACGTGCTCGGAGGGGGAAACTTGGGGAAAACCAGAAAACATGTCAGTAGTCTGGGGGACTTCCGAGCCCTCTGAAAAGGCCCGCCCCTTCTCACGCCCCCCCCTCCCCTGGGCTCGCCGCCGATCCTCGTCGTGCGTCGTGATTCTGCGGGTGGATGGCGCCTCGTCCGACGAGTGCGACGGCGCGCCCGCGCCCCCGCCCTCTCCCCCCCCGAAGAGCCCACCGAGAGGCCGCCGCGGGCGCCGCGGCGAAGGGCGCGGCCGACGGGGAGGACGAGGCGGGCCGTGCGCCGCCAGGGCCGCTGGGCGACTTGCAAGCAAGCAGCGGCGAAGCGTCCGGGCTCGCTTACAGTGGAGTCGGGCCTGTCCTCCTACAGGGGGGTTTTGGAAGAAACACAAGCATGGTCAAACATATTCGAAGATCGTCAAAAATGCTCAACAAACATCCCCCCCAGCTATGATTTGACTATTTTGGAGTGTTCCTCCTGTAGAGGGACAGGCCCGACTCAAGCTTATAGGCCAGCCACAGAATGCTGTAAGAGCCCTTGTATTGTGGTCTGCACGAAAAGTTATCAGGGCATTCGCGGCGGAGGCTGGCTGGTTTCAGGGCATGGGCTTGCTATGTGATGAGAGCTGTGTGTTCGTTTTTAGACGACTCTTTGATTCTAGCCCTCGTGGTAGTCCTATTCGAATGCCGCTCCTGGTAGGCCTATCTGAATACCACCGTGGTTTTAGACCACTCGTGGTAGGCCTATCCGAATACCAGGACGGTCCGTCCCTGCTCCATACACGCAGAATCTAAAGGGGAATTGACCCCAGCACATTGGATTAAATCGGGGTTTCTCGTCGCTTCCGCTCAGTTTTCGGCTGTGTTCCTCGGCTCTTGGAAGCTTCCGTGCTTCGGGATGCTCCCCAGCAGGTGATACCCCGAAAACCAAACATTATCGCGTCGTGAAGCGATCTTGCTCCCAAGGGTTTTCGCCAGACCTCGTGACTGGCCAGAAACGATCCAGGATCAAAACCCGGGGGAAAGGGTCGTGACTTCTGTTCAGCAGCTACAAACGGTGTGGTTTTGCCGTGGTGCGGTTTGCGATCGAGTCAATGCACCCCTTCCGCACCACCATCCTTTCGCCCTGTCTGTTCCTTTGCCTTGCGCGCGCTGCTTGATGAACTGACTGCTGCTGCTTCCGCAGCTATACCACTGTGGCTTTCGGGAAAAAAAAAAAGGAGCGAGCCTGCGGCGCGCGCGCGTGCGTCGGCCGGCGGACCGGCCTCCTCCCTTCAGTGGTACTTTTACTGTATGCTTGACGGCATGATCCCTTTTTCCGCATGTCATTGGCGGAGCCCACTGACCATGATACACTATCGGAACATATTGCAGGGATTATGAAGAGACTGATCTGCGTCGTTGGGGAATGGAGGGCACCACTTTACCCACCGACACGTTTTTCCGGGGCGCGGCGGAGAACACTGGCTGGAAGTCCTTTAGCGCCCCTCTCAGGGCGCGGGCCGCAGACCACACCCCTCGCAGTCGCCGCAACGCCGCCGCCGTCGTCGCCGCGGGCGCCGTCGGCCCCCATGGGGCCCCCGACGGGCCGCGGGACCTTCGAAAACGATTCAGGCACGAGGCAGGTTTCCAGTTCGGACGCGCTGCAGCGGCGAGCAAGACATGTATACTCTCTTCGAGTGAGCTGGCGGTGTCGCCCGGGCCGTGGCGTCGCGTGGCATGGCCTTCTCACCCCCACTCGTGGTAGCGTCCATCAGTACAATCACAGTCTGTGAAACTATTGTTGCTTCCGCGCCGTCGTAACAAAACAACATTGTCCGGGGTTCCATTCTACGCCGCCTATAGATGGGGTCGGATGGTGTCGGGGGATCGCGCCGCATCGCCGATGTGTCGCCGATGCGTCGGCGATGCTGCTCGACGCGGAGCCTGATTTTCTCCGCGCGGGCGTCGCCAGTGCATCGCCGGCGCATCGTCGGTGCATCGCCGTTGCATCGCCGATGCGGCGCGATTTTTCGACCCCATTTGGGAGGCCTCGATCCACGCAGCGAAAAAAATCGAGCGCTGGATGTCTGGGCATGCGTCCGTCGTTCCTGGCTGTCGCCCGTCGCTCATGCGCCGGTCGTGCTGTCGTCGGTGGTCTTTGCCACGGGGTCCCTGTTGCGCTGGCGGAGCAGAGTGGTATTCGGCGTCAGGGGATGGGGAAAGGAGATCGGGCGGCGCCAGGACGAGGACTCAGTCGGAGGACGATCCAAAAATAATCAAAAAATAGTCCAGAGAGGTGTTTTCTATGTTTTTTGCTGGTGTTGCTGATTTGTTGTTGAATATTGTTCAAACATTTGTTGTACATTCTCGACATAAGACGCGGATGAATCTGCTTCAGAGCGTTACACAACGCTCTCGGAAAACTCCGGAACACTCTGAAAGGGCCGCGGCGCCCGAGGTTTTCCCCCGATGTTCGTTTCATTTCGGTTTCGTCTTAGGAAGAAAAGGGGAGAAAGGGGGAAGAAGACACGAGGAGGAGGCGGGACCCCAGGGCGGCGAGCGGGGCGGTATTGGGCGGGCTGCCGTCAGGCGGGCAGCATCACCCGAAATGGTCTTTGTTGCGCCAGCGACAGCGCGGCAGCATCGCCGCCCTCGCGCGTGCGCCGCCAGAGTATGTCCATATCCACTGCCGCGGGATCGTGCCCTGGGGTCTCGGGGGGCCGTAGATGTGGACAGCTGCCCGCCCACGCGGGCGCGGCCCGCGACAGCGCGCTCGCTGTCCCGGGCCGCCCCCGCCAGCAGCTGCCGCGCTGCCCCCCCCCCAATGCACCCGCGCCTGCCGCACCCCCCGCTGCCGCCGCCAGCAGCCGCCAACAGCCGCCCTCGACGCGCCCGCGCCTGCCACGCCCGCGTCCGGCCCGACGACCGCCGTTGTGCGACAGCCCCCGCCGCGGCTCCCCGCCATTTGCCTGTTTTTTCTGCCTGCTGGCTGCTGTCGCGGCTCCCGTCCCTCGCCTCGCCCCCTCCCCTGCGCCCAGCCCGGCGCCTTGACTCGCAGGGCACGGGCCGGTCGTTGAGAGGAAATGTTTCGGAATGCCCACGTCCGAATCTATTTCGGCGCCTTCCTACTTCAAGGGTCGAGTGGTGTTCCTTTTTCCTTTCTCTTGGGGGGCGGCGGAATCCCAATCTACTTCCAACGCTTTTCTACTTCATGTTTCTATTGTCTTCTTCTTCTGACCGAAGGGTACTGATGGGGAGTCCGGAGTTTGCCGCAGCAGGCCCAGAAGTGGCTTTACTGACCTGTCGTTGGGGGACGCTCCTTGTCCTCCTCCTCCTCCTTCTCCTCCAGGCGTCAAGCGGCACCGCCCGCCCCTATGTTTACACGCCCCACTCTCCCAGTCTTCCTATTCTTATTCTCCGCGCCATGTCTCCCAGTTGAGATTGAGGAGCCCCTCGCCGTCACGCGCCGAGGGATGGTGGAACATCGCAGCCTTAATATTCTCACACACGACGTCAGATGTCTCCAGCCAGGCCGTCACTCAGAAGCTTCTTTCGCACATGCCAGCACGTACATCACCTTCTCGACAGGAATCCGGACACGCATGAAGCTACCGAAATTTGTTGGAACAGCATCGCAGACACGGATTTCCACATTCTAAATTCGGGGTACAGTCGAGGTGCAATTTCGAATGGTCACGCAGGAGTGCAGATTCGACCGAGGAAGGACATCTTCTGGACCTGCCACATCGCCGCAGATGTCTCGCCACCTTCTGTATTGCAAGGGCGAGGCGGGGCCGTCCTCCTACGATCAGGCCGCTTTCACTTGCTCGCCACAGTTGTCTAGATTCCATTTCGCCGTCGGCAAATATACACAAGAGCGTGCATCAGAAGAACGTCGATTCGTTGACCAAGTAGGCGACTGGCATATCTAGTGAACCGCCAACCCGATGTTCGACTGTCTTCAGCGGGGACTTGCACGATAATACTGTCGTGCCACCCGCTGAACACATCACCGACGAATGCGACCCTATAGGACCATTTTTCCGCGTCCTGAGAACGATTGTATGAAGGAGATGAAAGTTTACCTTGAGCAGTTCGGGCGCTGTCTCATTCACACTTTCGTAGGCGGTGAGGACACATATCTGGGGAAATTGAGAAGTACGCGTGTTGAGTATATTGGGGCTCCCAGCACTTGGCTCTCTTCTGTTACCCAATGCAGATTCCTCCAGAGGCTTGGTAGACGCCTCGGAATGGTCCCCGCGGTCCGCATATGGGGCAACTGGCCCCTGCAGGTCTCGGTTAAGTACCTCCTCAGCTTCCCTACGACGCCCTCTGCGAAGGGTGAGTCTTGGGATACCGATCGGTTGGTAGATGGAGTTGAGCACTGCGTCTGGCGTGATAGATTTCTCGTTGAGATTGAGGTCATATCCTTCCGCGCCTTCCCCACCTGGTCCAAACTCGAAGGCAAGGCCACCCCCGACAGAGCCTGGGAGCTGTTTGTAAGGGACGTTCGAGGCATCGCACCGGTATGATGTGCGTAACAAACCGAAGCTGACGTCGATTGCCACCAACAACGCGAGCGCACCTAACAAACCGAAGCTGACGTCGAGTCCCAACGAGCCGTACTATAACGACGATGCGAGCTTAGAGAACAACTTCGCGCTCTACTTCTAGTCCTGATTGCCGACGGTGCACACTTCCAGGAGGTCGCTCATGTGCGATCTCATTTGTTCATGGTGCCAAGCCAGATCAAGCAGCGCCGAGATGTGGATAGGGGTCCACGCATGGGAACGCTAGCAGGCCAGATATGGGACGCCTGGAAGGCGCCCAGGTGGTCGTTGGTCCATCGACTGCGCAGAAGGCTCGCATGCACGACAGTTGGACCAGGACGCCGCTTCGTCAGTCTGCCGATCAGCATGCGACCGACGATCCAGATGCGGGCCGGCTTTCTCGCACAGCGAGGCCCATTCGGAGGCCAATCAGCATCGCTAGTTGCTTTGCCTTCCTTGCCGGAGGATCGGTCTGAGGATGGCCTGGGACTTGGGTTTCATGGGCCTGGTTTGAAGGGTGAGGCGAAGCATGGCCTGAACGGAAATGCTCGTCACTGCTTAAGATGACCCGCGGAAGATTCGCCGCCCATGGGGCTACCTGTGGAAACAGGTCGCGCGGTCCCCCCCCCCTTCCTAGACGCTCCAAGCGCACAGATCAACCAGATGAGTTCACTGCGCCGCTCTACGTCATGGCCTGGTTTCCTCGTCGAGTCCGAGGTTTCCTTTGGGGCGTCCGAGGAGGGGCCCGCCCGCCGCTTGACTGGCGCCGCTCTTGGGGGCGCAGCGCGACCTCGCCTGGCCGTCGCCCCATTCCCCTCGCTCGCCGCGCGCGCCCGCGCGCGTCGCACTGCGCGGCGCTCTACGATCAGGCCGACATTCCTGCGAGTATTAGCGCTGTGTTACTGGATGAAGCTGATTGCCATCACGCGCGTCCAAATGATATCTGCTTCAGACACTGCTGCAGTAATCATCGTCGTATTATCACGTTGGATTGTTCCGATGGTGCGGGGCACAATCAAATCCAAGAGGGAGTCTTGCAAGGCCGCCAGTCAGGCCCCGCCATGTATTTTCGCAGTTTCGACCGCGTGGCGCCCATGCCATGGGTTGCAGAGCGACGAGCTCAGCCCGCAGGTCGCGATCTTACGTGCAACGGCCAGATGAGTTAGATTCCTGGTGAAGATTGATTTATTACGGTTTACTCTGGCCACGCTGCTCATAAGGTCGCAGCCCCCGCAGCCTCGGCGATGGCCGACCAGGCCTGCGCAGCCGCCGCCGGCATCTCTCGCCATCTCGCTCGCTCGCGGGCGGCGTCCTGAACTGCGGCGGGCAGGTCGCGGCGCCCCGCATTGTGGGCGCAGGCGCCGATGGCAAACCTTTGTCTGTAATTAGCTCCGCGCGCGCTCTCTCTGGGCGGGCGCGCGCGCCAAGTATGCCGGCGCGCAATATCATGGCGCGGAAGCCACAGCGCAACAAAGATTTGCCGTGTGCGAGAGCATGAGGGGCGCGTAGCACGCGACAGGCTGGTTGTGGCATGTTAAGCAAGTGCCCTTACGCATCCAGCTCCTCTTTCCAGGCGCGGGCGCAGCTTGCTGGGCCCAGTGGCCTCGGGGCCATCATTCCGCTGGCCGGCGACCTCGAGCTCATCGACGGCCTACTCTCGCAGTGCGGCCAGGTCCTCTTGAGAGGCGCAACAGCGTCCAAGACCCCGCGGGCCGACGGCAGTTTGAAGCGCGCGCCCCACCTGGCAGCGCGCGCGCGGGCCAAGCTCGGACCAGCGCCCTCGCAGCTCGAGTTTCTCATGCGTCGTCTGCATTGGCCCGAGGAGGCGGCCGCCCACCGCTCCAGGCATTGACAGCTGCTCGCAGCACTTTTCGGCGAGATGCGCGACGAGAGGCGCCGCGCAGTCGCAGGTGGACTGCTTGCCAGAGACGACGATGAGCGCGCGCGCGGGCACCCCCGGGCCTTTCAAGTCCCCAATGATATGAAGACGATGCATCGAACTGAGGGCCCCGAACTCGCCGCGTTGGGGCGCGTGCGCCTCGAGGTATCCGCCGACGAATTCAACCTGATGTTCTCCGAGTTCAACTTTGCCAAATTCCGCAATCAGCGAGGCGGGCAGGGGTCCGGCAGAGGAAGGTGGTGGAGGAGGTGCGCCTGGGGGTTCTGGACGCCCCGACCCCCCGCGCCCCCTCCTCGAGTTTGGCGCGACACGGAAACAAAAGCTGACGGCTCGGAATTTGGATCGGAGTTGCATGATCAACAAGGGCGGCACGCGCGCGTGCGGTTCAGCACGGAAAGCAGTCACGGACATCGGGCTCTGTCTCATTTTCTCACCGCCACCAGCCGACGCCCATGGCGCATGAGCGCGGATTCGACCGTCGATTTTTCGGCAGCATGTTCTCATATTATTATTCAGGCGACGTTGCCAGTGCGATCGCAGTCCGGTACATCATGAAGTGATTATTGCCTTGGCTTTGGGGTGTCTCGCGGCTCGCCCGCCGCTCGCGGTTCCTCAGCAGCATATTCGCGCGCGCGTTGACCTCTCAGCCACCGCGTCCGACATTCTCGCTGGCTGCCTCTGATGGCGCGGGCGCCGGCCGCCGGCCAGAGCGAGATGGGCGAGGCGAAGAAGCGCCTTGCTGAACTCACCGATGAGAAATAGACCGCTGGAGGCAGCGGCAAGTCGCGCGAGCGCGCGCCTGGGCATCGATGGCAGATGGCAGGCCCCATCCGACCCAACGGCCATCGATGATGATGCCGACTCGGAGGACGAGACAGCCGTGGAGGCGATGGAAGGCCCCTTTCTGCACGCGCCTCATGTCGGAAGAGCACCAGCTCAATCCCACGGGCCATGGCTTGGAACCACTCATCCTCCAGGTCGGGCTTGCAGCTCCCGAAACAGAAGGCGCCCAGGAGGTCTCAGGCGGAACCCGCGCCTAGTCGAGCATCTGAAGTCGCTAGAGGCCCTCATTCTTCAGCTGGGAGCGCCGCCGATGCCCGTCGCGCGCGAGACGCTCCGACATTGACGGGCGAAGACCGCGTTCGCGAGGGAAGGCGCGACGCCTCTCGTTCGCCGCATTTTTTTCGCCAGCGCGTATGTTCAGAACCAGTCAGGCCCAGGGATTTCGATGAACTCGATGCTCGCATCCCTGTTCTCGGCCATGGGCAGCGCTCCGAAGTTGGGGCCAACCCCGAGGACTACCCGAGAGAGGCGCTTCCATAATTCGCTCTAGACGATGCCCAAAAGAGGCCGCCACAGGAAGGGCCAATGACCCCAGATCCCAACCCTCCCCCGTCGATGCCCCCTCCTCCGGCTCCCTCGAATCCTCCGAGTAGGCCGCCGTCGGCCTTTTTGGGATCTGTCTTGGAGCGCGGTCGGGTGCAATTCCAGGGAGAGCGGGGCCCAAGGGTGCGCCCCAAAGGCCCCAGCCGAAACAAAGCTCGAAGCAAAGGCAAAGGCACTGCCAACTCGAATGGGAAGTAGGTCTCTCAGCTGTGATACTTGTACCGCGAGGATTCTGAAAAGGGCCCTTTCGCCTCGTCGATTGTCATGGGGGCTAGCTGTACCTATCTGTACCCCCCCTTGAATCTTTCACGGCCAGGCTGGCCGACCTCTCCTCTGTCTGTCTTGCTGCCGCCGCTTCCCCGCTGCCGCTGTGCCCCTCTCGTCCTCTGTGCGTCTTCAAGAAAACGTCTGCACGTGCAGGCCGCTCGACCATGCGCTGCAATCAGGGAGTCCCCATGCTGATTGCTGGAGGAGGGGCTCCCCTAGAGTTTTGACATCGGCGGGAGCACGGTGCCTCGCGAACGCCTTGCGGCCACCGACCTCATCGGGTCATTCGAGACGCGGCCATGCGCAGTTAGCGAGCGAGTGAGCCAGCCTCCTCCTCCTCTTCCTTGTCCTCGTCATCCTCCTTCTCCTCCTCCTCCTCCTCATATTTCTCCTCCTTGTCCTCCTCATCCTCCCCCATATCTCCGAGGTCCAGGAGGCTGCTCCATATCAACCCAAGACGGCGGCAAAGCAAAACAGGCTCATTGTCAGAACTCACGCACGACCGTGTCTTGTTGGTTCCTGGTTCGACCGCGGTCCAGTGCAGGCGCTGTTTGGCCGTGGCCAGGACCCCATCCACTGCCGAAACTTTGTCGAAGACGCTAAAAAACGATCCGCCCCCATGTTCCAGACCCTGGCCCAGGCTGTTCAGCAAATGGGGTGGCGTGCTCGTGCCTCTGGGGGCAGGGGAGGTCCTTTTGCTGCTGGTGCCGACACAGCGGTGGATGTGGTTGGGCTCTTTTTCGGATGCGATTGCCACAGAGTAGTGCATCGTAGAGGCCACTTGCTTGTTGTAGCCTCTACGGGGCTCGGGTTGCGGCTGGCTCCCCGAGTTTCGACCACCTGCCTTTTTGAGGTGTTCCCTCCACCGAGCTGGCGTGCTTGCGGCTCGTTGCTTGCGCGTTTTGTGCTGCATCCTGCGCCCCCCTCGTCCTCGTCCTCGCCTCTGCACTGCAGCGCCGTGGCACTGCACGCGCTGGCCCGCGAACGTGGCCGGGAGCGGCCAGCGGAGGCTTGTGCCCCCTGCGGTCCGGGTCGGGGGTTGCGGCCCGCAGGCTGGACGGGAGCTCGAGCACGATGGAGGCCAGACAGGGGTTCCGCCCCACTGCGGGCCACAGCTTCTGCTGGATGGAGAGCGGTGCGCATCTGAGTCCGGGGAGCCCGGGGAGCCCCGGGAGCCCGGGGAGTCCGGGGAGCCCGGGGAGTCCGGGGAGTCCGGGGAGCCCGGGGAGTCCGGGGAGTCCGGGGAGTGTGGGGAGCCCGGGGAGTCCGGGGAGTCCGGGGAGTCCGGGGAGCCCGGGGAGTCCGGGGAGCCCGGGGAGTCCGGGGAGTCCGGGGAGCCCCGGGAGTCTGGGGAGCCTTGGGAGTCCGGGGAGTCCAGGGAACCCGGGGAGTCCGGGGAGTCCCGGGAGTCCGGGAAGCCCGGGGAGTCCGGGACCCAGATGCGCACCATACTGGCCGGATGCCACCCGGACGGCCCAGCGGGGGGAGGCGGTGCCTGTGCCAGCCAGGCTGACCGCACCCTTGTCCAGCGCAGCGTCCGTCGGGGCAGAAGGGTTGGAGGGTCGACAGGCTGGGCTGTCCAGAAGCTGCGCGGGAGGCTGACGTTCACGAGCACGGAGCTGGAGAAGGCTGCCTGCCCCGCGAGGGAGGTTGGTGTCAGCGAACACGTGGCTTGGGTCGCCCGGGGAATCCATCAGGCGGCTCGGGCGGCCTTCCCTTCCGAAGAGTTCAGGGTTCGTACTCCTTGCATGTCACCATACACGCTGGAGCTTCGACTCTGGCGCAGGTCGGCCCAGAGGACGTTCAACATGCAAATGTTGGCCAATGCGGCCTTCTGGGGAAAGGTCCTGCTTCCTCCCTTTTACATCCCCCCTCCCTCCTCGTCCCCCCTCCCTCCTCCGTCCGTCTTCCTGCCTCCCTCCCTCCTCCTGCCGCTTCCCTCTTCCGCCTCCCGTTGCTGTCACACCGCAAGGACATCCCCGACATCGGAGAGAATTTTGAGGACGTCAGCAAGCAGTGAGAGCGCCGGGCGCCGCCTTTGGTTCCAGCCGGCGCCACCCCGCACGAGGAGGGGGGCGAGGAGAGACAAGCGGAGGAGAGAACGATCGAAGATCACAAAAGGGAGCCAAGCAGTGGCGAAGTGCCCCGACCTGCCTATAGGTCCATCAAAGAATTTTATACTGATCATTCGGGATGTGCACGAGATGTGATTCGAGCATTTCTGGCTGAGGTCTTGAGGCCGTCTTGTTGTACTACATCGGGGCTGTGCTCTGAGAACATGTCGTGGTGGGCCTATACGAATGCCGGGATGGACGGTCCGTATTCACAACATGCATGTTCGCAGGGCCGTGCAGATTTCTCGCGTTGCGCGATGGACCTCCCTTGTCTGCGTCTCCGACGCCTCCCCTGGCACGTTTCGCCCGCCTGGGGAGATGGTCCAGCGCAGAACCGAGAGGTTTGCGCAGACAAAACGCTCACTCCCCAACCAGCTCTTGCGCTTGTTCTCATTCTTAGCCCTTTCCTGTCGATGATGATGATGGTGATGATACTGATACTGATACTGATACTGGTACTGATACCGGTGATACTGATCATGATACTGATGATGCTGACGATAGTGATGATGATGGTGGTGATGATGATGATGCTACGGTTGATGATGTTGATGAGGAGGTTGATGATGTTGATGATGATGCTTACCATGATGCTGTTGCTGATGATGATGATGATGATGATGATGGTGGTGATGGTGGCGATGATGCTGTGTATGATTGATGATGCTGATGATGATGATGATGATGATGATGATGATGACGATGATGACGATGCTGACGACGATGATCATGATGATGTCTTCTTCTTTTGAGTTGGCCCACAAGCGCTGTGCGAGTGGGTCGCGACCATCACAAATATCAGATAGCAGATCCAGGCAGGACTGACCGACATTGTCTGTGGCATCGCTGGCTAAGCGCTCTCGAGCCTACATGGTAACGGATGTGTGCTGTAGCCACTCAGAAATGTATTCGACAAAACGATTGCACGGAGAGGGCGCATGACAGACCCGAGAAATTCGCGCAGGCTTGACGTTAATTCCCCAGCCAGTGTTTGCACGGCAGGATCGTGTCGTGTCCAACCGGGCGTTGGTTCTTGACACCGCGGGCATCGTTCAACCTTGAACGGTCGGCCGTTTCCGAAACGTCAGTCGGATCCTGAAAACACAGGTCTGGACCTCAACGCTGTCTAGCTGGACTTCGGCTGTGTTTGGTTTTGCGCTTTGGGAGGGAGGTACAGGAAAACAGGTAGAGCACAAAAAATCAACACGAAAACAACGTCCTTCGAGGGCGCGAAGCTATTCGCGCTTCGCGGTTCGGCTCCGATTTCTCATCTTCCTCTTCTCCCCTGGGAGGCGGCGCATCAGCGCGAAGCCATTCGCGCTTCGCGCAGCGCGAAGCGCGAAGCTGGGCGCCCTTGGCTTAGGTCCAGCCCTGGTTCAACATCGACCGATTCTGGGCCGCAGGCGGCGCTCAACGTCGAACGCCGGTGGCGGGGTCGCCGCCGACCGACACCACGCGGACCTGCCGTACTCGTGCCAGAGCATATGCTTGCCCCAGTCTGGGGGCTCGCGAGAGCTCCTCCTCCTCCTCCTCCTCCTCCTCCTCCTCCTCCTCCTCCTCCTCCTCCTCCTCCTCTTCCGCTTCCTCTTCCTCCGCCTCCTCCTCCTCCTCCGTCTGGGGGCTCCTCCTCCTCCTCCTCCTCTCCTCCTCCTCCTCCCTCGCCTCCTCCTCCTCCTCCTCCTCCTCCTCCTCCTCCTCCTCCTCCTCCTCCTCCTCCCCCTCCGTCTGTGGGCTCGGGGTCTCGGCCGATGCCCGCCCGCCGCCGCCTCTCCGCCCGCGGCGTGCGCGGGCATGGTCCGCGGGGCGCTCGCCCGGCTACGCCGCGCGCGCCGCCTCCTCGCCGCCCTGTTCGGGGGCGGAAAAGAGGGGAGTGATGACCATCGGGGCCTCCTCCCTCCTCCCTCCTCGCGGCCCTGTTCGGGGCCCTGTTCGGGGGCGTCTTGGGCGGCCTATTGGAGGCCTCCTTGGGGCGTCTTGGAGGCCTCTTGGGCCGTCCGGGGGGCCATCTTGAGCGTCTTGGAGAGATCGTTCGGTGACTCTCTCCTGGCCCGGGAAAAGGCATACGAGTACACTTTCCCGGAGCCCAGGGGGCCACGCGGGAAGCCTCGGGTGACTTGAGAGCGGCTCCTCGGGAGTGGGGATTCGGGGGCGGAGAAGAGGGGGGTGATGACATGACCGGGGGGGGGGGGATATCATGGCGGGGGGCATGATATTTCCTCAGATGTCATGGCGCCTCTTCTTATCTCATTACGTCCCTGCCCCCCTTCGCTGGGCCGCGCACATGCCGCCGGTCATGATTTGCACCCCCCCCCCTGGGACACCCCCCTCTTGGCCGCTCCCGACCTATGCGTCTGTCTGTACGGGGCTGCATGCGAACCCTACCCCTACCCCCCACGATATCTGAGGGGGGTAGGGGTAGGGTTCGCATGTGGCCCCCCAGCTGGGGCTGCTGGGGGTTCCGGCGGGCGCCCGCCGAGTTCAAGCAGTGGCGAAGCGTCCTGGCGTCCCTATAGTCCTACCAGGCAGTGTTCTAAGAACCGTCTGTGGTTCCGACGGGAGGTTCTTAGAACGCTGTTGGTCGTGACTGTCGTGTTTTGACACATCGGGTTTCTGTTCTGAGAACATTGTTTTGTTCCTAGAACATCTGGGGGTTCTAAGAACATGTCGTGGTAGGGCTACAGGAGCGCTGGGACGGTCGGTCCCTGCTCAACTCGTCCCGCCCGCGGTGTCTGGCTGGGCTTCCCGGGTTCTTGCCCGGGCGCGCCGCGTGCCGTCCCTGCCCCGTGCGTTGGCCGGGTCTGCTGGGGCTCTGGCCGGCACCCCCCCGGTCGTACCCCTCTGCCCCCTGCACTGCCTCGGGGGCGGGAGAGAGGGGGGTGATGAGGAGGGGGGTGCGGATGTCATGGCGGAGGCCACGACACCTCCCCTGGTCTCATGGCACCGCTTCTGATGTCAGTACGTCCCCAGCCCCCCCCCTGGGCCACGCACGTGCCGCCAGCCAAAATCTGCGCCCCCCCCCCCCCTCTTGGACGCCCCCCTCGTGGACCCCCCCGATGCACGGGTGCCAGAGGCTGCCAGAAGGGCCCATTGGACAAGGATGGTTTCGCCACTTCGACTTATAGAACGTCCAGGATTCGCTAGGGATTGGTTTCCGTCCCAGACAACCGAATCCCCCACGAAGCCCTCCGCAAACCGTCATGGCAGGGCTCTGGGAGGCTTTTCGGAAGGTGTCGGGAGGGTTTGGAAAGGCTTTTCTCAGGAGGGAAAAAACACAGACACAATGAATCGTCGATTCCCCAGAAAATCTAGGAAAATATGGGAAGTAGGGGGGAAGACGAAAACCCAGAAAACATTCGCAAATATGGGGTATATTTCGATTTGTGTGTATTTATTAGTGTGTCCTGGGGCCCCTTCATTTTCGTCTTTTGGAAGGGGGGGGAACCAGTCCCTATAGCGAACCCGGGGCTTTAACTATAGGCCTGGCGGGGCGCGTGCCGAGCGCCCGCGTGCGCCGCCTCGTCGCTGCCTCGCGCGCGGAGTGGGTTTTTACCGGATCGGGCCGGCACCCGTCCCTCGGCGCCGATCGAAGCGAGTTTGGAAGGAGTGTTTGGACGCCCGAGATGGGTACGGAAAGAATGGGTACAATGCCCAACAGCAAATGCTGTCCCAAACCAACAGCGGCCGCTGTTGGGCAGGCGGCCGTCTGTCTCGAATGGACACAGGCCGCGGCGGCGCGGACAGCGAGCCCTGTTCAATGGGCATTGTACCCATTCTTTCCGTACCCATTTCGGGCGTCCAAAGATTGGGTACGATGCGTAGGGCCGAGGGTCAGAAAGCGCCTTCCTCTGCAGGACCACCAAAAACCAGACGTCGAGGCGGTCACACGCCTCGCCGGTCAAGCCGACGAAGATGTGCAACGTCCAACCGTTCGCTTATGTCCAAGGGTTTGGCTTGACGCCGGGTGTGGTGCTTCAATTTCAGCTTGACCGAACAGCACGAAAGGATCTGTTCGATTCGGTTCGGTCCGGTTCTGCAGCCGGTTCGGTTTTGCTTAGCCGGTTCGGTTTGACGTCGATTCGGTTTCTGCCGGTTCGGCTATTGGGGTCTGCCGCCAGTTCGGTTCGGTTCCGGTTTTCGCGCGGTTCGGTTCGACCGGTTCGGTTCGGTTCGATTGGCTGGTCCGGTTCGGTTCGGTCCGATTGGTCAGGTGCGACGTTGGGCGCCCCGTCTGCGTAAGCAACGACCCACTTTGAAAACAGGAGGAGGAGGAGGAGGAGGAGGAGGAGGAGGAGTAGGAGGAGCGCGGAGCGCGGAGCGCGGAGCGAGGAGCAATGAGCGAGGCTTTTGGTGGCGCTTTGTGGTTTTCCTGGCCCCCCCGTGGTCACGGCTGGATCCGAGTCGAGATGGTTGCCCCTGCCTCCCTCTCTCGAGAAGGCCGATGGGGGTCCAACGACGAGATTCTGGGTCCTGGGGGTCCTGGGGTCCTGGTGGTCCTGGGTCCTGGCAGTCCTCCAGGGGGTCTGGACCGGGGGGTGTCCGGACCGGGGAGGGTCCGGACCGGGAAGTGTACACAGACCGGGGGGGTCCGGACTGGGGGGGGTCCGGACCGGGGGGGGTCCGGACCTGTCCCGACCGGGGGGGGTCTGGGCCAGGAGGGGATCGGTCCTGGGTCCTGAGGGTCTTTGCCAGGGGTTCTGGGGTAGTTGGGGCACGAGGGGTCGTCGTCCTGCGACTTTGTGCGGGTCGGGTTGGGACGTCTGGTTCGGTTCTCGTCGGTTCGGTGGGGCCGCCCCGTTCGGGTTCGGTTCCGGTTCTGGTTCGGTTCGGTCCCTCCCGGTTCGGTTCTGAATGAATTCGATTCGGTCCGGTTCGGTTTTTGTTTTTCTTTGTTTGGAGCCGGTTCGATCCGGTCACGATTATCGGTTCTCGGGTCTCGGTTCGGTTTGGTTGATTT